ACTTCATGGTGCAGATGACGACACGATGCAGATTTGCAAGCTGAAGAAAAGACAAAACAAAGCATACATGTTAAGAAAATTCAAACAATGGTTCAAAAAAGACATTTAATCAGCAAACTTGATGTGGGATGATCTGCCTTCGTAGCCAGACAGCAACTTTAGTCCTTACCGCAGAACCACTGGCTATTTATATAGCTTTTAATTTAGCTACTTTAACAAATCGCAATTTCGATCCAATTCCAATGTTGAAATTGGAGAGAAATTCCTGATTCAACAGGACCTGAAATTGTTACAATGAAGTTCTGTACGTTGACACTATATGAGCTCACTGTTCCAAACAAACTGATGAGTTTGATGAGTCCTGCTGTTTCAGGACACAAAGCAAATTCTCCAGAGTTAAGACTTCAGGGTTAGAGTACAGTGTTGATACTTCAGAGTTGTTTTCACCATAAATTACTCACTAAAAGTGTAATAACCAGCAGTACCAGATTCATTTTGTCCCAAAGTAAACGCCTCTTACCTGGAGGACAAAGTTGTTGGCTCTGCTATGCTCTGGGGTCTGGCTACTGATTTGCTGATTGCTTGTTATTTAATGAGCAGTGATCAAAATGATTTGTGGAAAATAATTGGAAAAATTGTTACAAGCTGTCAGTGGGGAACATGGACAAGACATGCTTTATTTAAGCATGTTCTATATATTTATAGACTTTATTCCATTTTCAAAACTGGAGTCTGGAAAAATGTAAAAGTTGGATAAAAGCATGCAGCCGACCAAAGAACAGCCAGATACAGTGATTGACAGTATTAAAGCAACATGTCCGTATCAAGGTCTTGTCATCATTGCATCATATGCATATGCTGTACATATTCAAAGTAAATATAAGTTTTGATGTATCACAAACAGCAATTTTTTTAGTTAATAGGAAAATTACAACATATTTAGGCCAACATGTTCAACTAATCCTGGAATCCTTATCAGTTTAACGTCCTCAGATGAGGATGGGAGAGAGAGAGCAGGACAAGCTGTTCCTCTTCCTGCTCCAGGACAAGCAGTTTCAGATAAACACATTTAGATAAAATATTATCTAATGTTTTCAGACAAAAACACTTTAACACAATATATCAATTCTAAAATCAGATTAAAACAACAAAAAGTAACAAAGTAAAAGCCTAAACGTGGAAACCCCATCATATGATAATGGTCAAAATGATGAGGATTTATTTTTAGAGAGTTGTAACTTTTCAGATAAACCCAGCAGCTCTTGGCGAAGCGTTTGCTCATTCTGCCAGTCAGAGGACTGACCTCAGACTTTGGTCAAGGTTTGGTAAGACTAAAACTAAGTCCAGTGAATTTTTGGGTGTATGTCAAATTACAATGTTGGCTTCAATCAAAGGAGTTAAAATGTGTTTTTACGTAGCTCTTGAGTTCAATATGTTGAGGGCCTCTTTAGATACAAAGGTTTTAAAAATTGACTGAGGTTGGTGGTACAGTGTGTGGAGCCTGTACAGATGGGCCCCACACCAGCTGTTGGCTAGTGGTAACGCTCAGCCTCTCCCGATTCAAACTCATCTCATTAAAGTAAGAGTTAAACAGCTAAATGTGATTGAAATATTTTCAACCTTCAACAACAACAAACATAACTTAAGTCTATAAAAGCAATGCAGCCAGTTTAGCTAGTTTTGATTTACAATGAGGCAGTTTATTATGATTCAGCCAAAGTAATGAAACAAGCTGCTGTCTGATTTTTACTGTTAATGTATTTCTTCCTATTGTGAAAGTAAATAAAAGGTGCTACATGTCTTTTTCTTTAAGTTTTTACTTACTGTAGGATTTTTTGGTTGTGCTGCAGAGCCACAGCTGGCTCCTCATTTCACTGCTCTCACTGAAAAGTGACGCTCTCCGTTTAGTGGCCATTTTTGTCACTTGGTGACAGTAACTCTCCTGATCGATCTGATTGTCAGGATTTTCAACTCCAATCCAACCAACCACAGCCTGCAATGGTTTGCCTAATTGGCCAAGCTTTCATGTTTTTTTTTAGTCATAACCATTAAAAAGACAAAAAATAAAGTCTTGAAATATGTTTTTCCGCTGGAGTTACTATGTGATGTCAGCAGGTGGCAGAGTTGCACCTTTTGGTATTTTATTTTTTACACATTAGTAATGGTTTAATTTAATGGACCTTACCACAGGGGCCGCATTTCATTGGCTAATGCCCATTTCACGTCACAGCGCAGCTACCACGTGCATGACCGTCTCACAGACACAAGTGGACTAAATGTGGACTAGCAGACCGACAGAAAGTTTTTGCGTCAGGACTTGAAAAAGAATGGTTCTCCACCATCAGTGGGGAATCTGTACAGGCGATGTCAGGTATCCTGATCGTATTTGTGGAACTAAAATTCACAGATTTCCAAAATCTGAAACGGAAAGCCTTGCTTGGATCAAAGCTTGTGCACGACCGCATTTGCAGCTCAACCGTCGTAAGATCAATAAGTGTAAGTATTATTGCTTTGCTTTCTTTGTGTTTAGTGAATGGGGATAT